CACTTTCCATCCTTGGGACATTGCAATATTGATCTCATTGCTGCTTGATTTCAGAGCATGTGCTATTGACCCTGGCTATGAACGTCTGTGATTAGGGGTGGGGATGATTTCCCATGTGTGCAGTGGGAAAGATCAGGACAGATTTTCCTAAGAAATGAAACTTCAGGACAGACTTGATTGGCTGGTAGAGTTTTAGCTGGGGCAGGGGGGTGTGTATATTTCACATGGCTTGACTTGAATGAACAAAGACAGGACCAGAAAGCTGGAGGTGGGAATACATTGGAAGCTACTGAGGTGTGGTCTTGGAGTGGGATATAGCATTCTTGCAGGAAGGAGCTGAATATAAGCAGGGCAGTCTGTAGAGACCCTGAATGATAGTTTTTATTTATTTCTATAGTCTGTGGAGCAGCCCCTCGAAGTGCAAGAGCGTGGACTGATAGTCAGTAAAGCACTTCAGCAACACCTCAAAACACAATGTGGACAGAATAAAATTGGGGCTTCCCGTGGGCCAGATGTGGGCTGGCAAGGGTGGCTGCGGGTCTGATTTGCTTTGGCATCACTGGTTTCTAGGCCCTTCCAAAGGGCCTGCTTTTGCTCCACTCACCTTATAAATGAAGAGACACAGAGGGGTCACGTGACTTCCCCAGAGCCTTGCAGGCCTGAGGGCGTAGAGTTTGCCACTGCTGGGCCTTCGAGATGGTGAGACTTGCTGGGTGATGGTGGCGCACACTTTTAGTCCCAGTACTGGGGAGGCAGAGGCAGGCGGATCTCTGTGAGTTTGAGGCCAGCCTGGCCTACAAGAGCTAGTTCCAGGACAGGCTCCAAAGCTACAGAGAAACTCTGTCTCGGAAAAAAATTCCAACCTAAAGACTAAAGATTTCAAAGCAGGTTTATCATTATACTTCAGTTAGCTATTAACCATCTAGAAATATTTGGGTGTTACTGATTATATTTTATTAATTATCTTTATGTTATAAACTTGTGGATTTAAATTTTTCTCTCATTTTAAGCAGTTTGCTCTGAAGATTGTTTCTGGTATAATATACCACTGCACACACAGACACACACAAAAAGTAACTATATAAAGGCCTGAATTGGAGTAAGCAATGCATTTTGTAGAATGAGCATGTATACAGGTTAAGTCTCCAGAAAGATAATTATCTTTAGGTCTCTACTGTTGTCATTTTTTTTTTTTTTTGTATTTTTGTTGACAATTCTGGCTACTGAGCTGGAGAGTTCAACGTATTGGCCAATTCTTTCTCTACCGATATACTCACGATAAGTTGCAAGATGTGTCCCTATAGAGAACACAGTCAGGGAGAGGCCGCGAGACCCACATGCAGGGCAGGCCAGCACTCTGGCGAAAGAGAGAAAGAGAGGTCTTGCTAGAGGAAGAAGAAAAGCCTCTGCAGACTTAGTGGAATTTAAAAAAAAAAAAAAAGAGTCAATGCATTCCTAGTTCAGCAAATCTGATTTTCTTGTTACTCAAATAACTTGAATCCTTTGAAGTAGATAATAGGGAATCTCTGTTACCAGCCCTGTAATTCACAAACATAAATATATTTAACTTACTGGTTTCCAGGTTTATTAAAACATTGTATTGGGACTACTTGGTTTTTCCCAAAATAAAAATCCTTGTGTAGCCTCTTGAATTTTAGAATGTTTTTACATTGCACTGTGTGCAAAAGGTGGGAAGACGAACTTCTGGTTCTGTCCTAGTGTGCATTAGGACACCTTTGGTTGAATCGTGTTGGGGGTGAATATTCTTGGAAAAGGATCTTCTGCCTTGTTGGCCCGGCACCTCCTGGGAATGCCCCTCATTTGGAGAGCCTGCATGGCTTGTTTTAGTTTTGTTTTGTTGTTTTTTGTTTTTTTGAGACAGGGTTTCCCAGTAGCTTTGGAGGCTGTCCTGGAACTTGCTCTGTAGACCAGATTTGCCAGGGTGGTCTCGAACTCACAGAGGTCCACCTGCCGCTGCCTCCCAAATGCTGGGATTAAAGGTGTGCTCCACCACCGCCTGGCATTTTTCTTTTAAATGCGTCTTTGAAGGGATGATCAGAATTGGGCAACATTTTTTTTCTTAAGGAGAAAAAAAGATTTAATAGATTTTCTATATATACATATTTGTGGCTGGTGCCCAGAAGCCAGAAGAGAGCATAGATCATCTGAACTGGACCTTCCATGTGGATGCTGGGAATTCAGTCCAGGTCCCCTGGAAGAGAATCAGTGCTTTTAACTGCTGAGCCATCTCTCTAGTCTCCCAAAAGTTTTATTTTTAAGCTGCCTACATTCTGATTGGTATGGCCAGCTTTTAATATAAGCATTTTGATAAATGCTGAATTGTTCATTATTTTCGTGCATTCTATGATTTTTTTTTTTTTAACTGTGATACCTAGTAGAGTGCCTGATGTGTACTAAGCGCTCAGCATTGCTTGGTAAATTGCAATCTCCTTATTCAAAACTTATGTATTATTTAGTGTATAGACAGGTACTGAAGTACTTGAAGTATTGATTTTGTATAAGACACACTAGTGTATCATAATATATTAAATGTATATGAGTTGTATGGGCCATTTCTTCATAGCTTGGTCATCATTTCTTTCCTGACAGGAAGAAGTAAGGATTTGGATTTCTGTTGTATTATTGTTCACAAACAATGCTCTTTGTATAAGGGATACTTGAAAAAGCTTGTTAACATTTGAATAGCAGACACACTTTCTTACTCTCTGAACTTTCCAATTTTCGTTTTGCTTTCATTGGTGACTCTTTCAAACTGCTAATTACGGGACCTAAAACAGCTGTGGTAAGACCAGATTCTGTCTTTCTCGAAAGCACTAGGGCTTGTGATAGGTGGTAAAGATGAAGAGGACCTGGCCCAGAAATGCCAGGAGCTGCATGTCTCTGTGTTCTCTTTTATTTGGTAGTAAATGTCATTTGATAAGGACTCCACTGACTGCTCAGTGTGATGCAAGTCACTTCCAGTATTTGAGCCTAATTCCAGTGCTTTCAAAGGATCATTGCTCGCAGTCCTCAGCAGCCTAGCCTTATCTCCATGTTACAGACTAGAAAACTGACATCCTGGGAAACTAGGTGGCTTGCTTAAGGCTGCACATTCGTAAAAGGAGGAGCTAATATTAGTCCACCACTGAGAAGACCCTCCTCCCTTCTCTTGTTAGTTTGGGATTTTTGTTTTGTTTTGTTTCATTTTTTGAGAAGGTGTCTCTATTATGTAGAGATAGCTGCTCTGGAACTCATTGTGTAGACCAGGCTAGCCTCAAACTCACGGAGATCTGCCTGCTTCTGCCTCTCCTGCGCTGGGATTAAATGTGTGCGCTACCACACTCAGGCTCCTTCTCGGTCATAAATAACACAACTTTGTCTGTATACAGCTGTGTACGCAATGCACTAGAGCCTCTGGGTATCCCTCGTTCCTTGTAGGTGTTCAGTAGCTGGTAGTTCATAGTAACTGTCGTGATGCCGAGAGCTAACAACAGAATTTTAAGCTCTGTTCTGCTTTGGTATACCAGCTGAGAAGTTAAGAAGTTTGAAAACAAAAGAAGTCTCAAGCAGAAATTAGAAGTTGAAGTACTGTGAATTGCCATATTGATCCTCATTGGTTGTCAGTTACATCATTGTGAAAGCAGAATCAAGGAATACCTTAAGAAGTGAGCCCAAACTTGATGCTTGCCATTTTCCTTTCATTTTCATTCTTACCCTCTACTTTCAGCCATCAGAACATTTGTACTCAAGATGCAAGCTCCTTGCAGTATCTAAGTTTTTTTTCTTAATATCAAATGGCTATGGTGTTGCCATTTAAATGGTTGTGCTCCTAAGCTTTGCTTTAAGTGAGCAGTCCCAAGGAATTCAAATTTTATCTCATAGAATTACAAAATTAAAAGTAATAAATAAATTGGATGTATTGTATCTCGGGAAACATTCATGCAAATGTTTCAGTGATTCAAGATAAATGAAATATTTTCGTGACTGCATTGGAGACAGCCTATGGTGAACTAGTAATAGTAATACATGTTTTTAACCTAGCATTTCACTCATGGATACTTTTATATAGGAAGTTAAAACTTATAGGAATAATTTTTATTTTTAATTTATGTGCATTGGTGGGAAGGTGTCAGATACCCTGGAACTGGAGTTACAGACAGTTGTGAGTTGCCTTGTGTATGCTGAGATTTGCACCTGGGTCCTCTGGAAGAGTAGCCATTGCTCTTAATTGCTGAGCCATCTCTTTATTCCCGAAATTTTTTTTTAATTTAAAAATCTTCCAGTTATCTTAATCAGTTTTGGTTACAACTATTCCTTGGCAGGAGATTCCAGACCCCCCCCCCCAGACCGAAATTGACAAGTACTTATGTTCCTTCTACAAAAAGGCACATAAACTGTGTACATCAGCTTACCTCTGGATCACTTGTAATACTCATTAAAATGTAAAGTCTGTGTAAACAGTCGTAACATTGTATTTAGGGAAATTTTTAAAATCTATACATTTTCAGTATGGATACAATTTTAAAGTATCAAAGTATATTTTCATGCACTTTGTTGGGTCTGTAGGTGGAGAGCCTGAGGGTGTGAGGAACATCATCAGCTCCCTTTTTGATTAATTTGTGTGCAATTCAGGGAAAAACACTCCATATCAATTTCTAAACGTGCCTAACCAGAAAGTGTGGTTATGCTTTATTTAAGACAATTCTTCCTGTGTTTCTCAGTCTGGTCCAGAACTATTACACAGCTGCTCCTCTTGCCTCAGCCTCTAAGTGACTGGGACTCTGGGCACATGCTACCATACCCAGTTCAAGCTTTTAAATCTGCACCCGAATCAAAATCTTTTCACTGAGTCTTGACTTTAATATATTGTGAAAACATTTCCGTACTCACTTTTTAAAATTGTTGGGTTTTCTTTTTGTTTGTTTTGTTTTTCCAGACAGGGTTTCTCTGTGTAGTTCTGGCTGTTCTGGAATTCCCTCTGTAGACCAGGCTGCCTCAAACTCAGGGATCCCCGAGTGCTGGGATTTAAGGCATGTGCCACCATGCCTTGGTCCGTAGTCACTCTTGCTTTCATTTATACATTTTAAAAATGTTTGTAAGGTACATATTTCTTCAACAGAGAAGTTGGTGACCTCTCTTAATTTGTGATTAAAGAAAAAACAAGTAATAGTAACACCAAGTACAGAAAGCTCACCTCCTCCTCACCAAGGCTTTGAAAACACCTGTAAGCAAGAGACTTTGAACAGGTTAGAAGTGTGCTCTTTTACTGAGAAGTGAAACGTGATGATCACATTCACAGTTTTGTCTCCAATTGTCGCACCGTTTGTGATAACAGCAATAACAGCAACATTTACTATAGGCTCCATGTGGTCCGTGGCTATGAATGCTTTAGTTGTTTGATCATCAGCCCATCGCGTAAGCAAAAGCTGTGTATGTGTATACTGAGAGGAAGATGTTAAATTTATGTGCTAGTTCCTAAGTTGATGATTAAAATCTGACCAAACACACTTGTCTTTCATATATTCCATAAGCCATGGGTTCTCATCTGATCCTAGAAGACACAACCATAAATAGAGACTAACAACAAAGTGATACACTGATTTCGTGGGCCCCTTCTTGCTGGAGAAGAATTTCAAGTTCCCAGGACACACAGTGTGACCCTCCGTTGTGGGCACGGAGGTACACGCGGGCGGCTTCCCATGCAGTAGGGGCTCGAGCAGACACCTGGGCGGCATTTTCACACCTGCCGGTGGCTCCTGAGGTGCCGGCATCCGCACAGTGGCGGCTTCCCATTCATGCTCCAGCAGCTACCGTGCAGCCGCCCGCGAGCTCAGGGCGCAGTGTCGGTGCCCGAGGCTCCGGAGGGAGGGCCTGGGCGACGCACGAGTCGCTGCGCCGGGGCCGACCGGCCGGCTCTTCCATAGGTGGCTGCGTTTCCGACTTCGCCCTGGCTCCACTCCGGGGGCTTGACGTGCAAACTTCGCCGGAGCGAGCCGAGAGGGAGGGACCGGCGAGGGGGAGGAGGCGACAGGAGGCGCCTCCGCTTAAGGGAGCCGGCCGGGCGCCGCCGCTCGGACGGACGCGCGGACGGAAGGAAGGAGCGGGGCTGCCGGCCGGGCCGGGATGCGAGCGGCCGCAGGGTGGGCAGCGGCGAGCCGGGGCGCGGGCGGGCGGGCCGGAGGCCGCGGCGGGGTGGCTCCGGGCCCCGACCTCCCGAGGCGGCCCGGGCCGGGCAGCCAGCGCCGCAGTGGCGGCTGCAGCCGGCGCCCGGCGAGGGCCGCGGGAGGGAGGCGAAAGCGAAAGCCAGCTGCGCCGCGGACTTTGCGCCCGGACGGGGGCGGCGGCGGGGCCCGGGGGCTGTCAGCGGCACCGGCCTGCGGGCCGCGCACGCCGCCGGAACTCCGCGGCGCCTCCTTAAAAGCGGCCCCCGCGCCACTCTTTTCCCCCTTTTTTGTTACATTGTAGGAGCGGAAAGAATGTCGGAGCGGGCCGCGGATGACGTCAGGGGGGAGCCGCGCCGCGCGGCGGGCGGAGCAGCGGCCGCCCGGCAGCAGCAGCCACAGCCTCTGCAGCCCCAGCGGCAGCACCCGCCGCCGCGGCGCCCACGGCCGGAGGACGGCGGCCCTGGGGCCGCCAGCACCTCGGCCGCCGCCATGGCGACGCTGGGGGAGCGCAGGCCCCTGCCCAGTCCCGAAGCGATGCTGGGACAGCCGTGGAATCTGTGGGTGGAAGCCTCCAAACTTCCTGGGAAGGATGGTGAGTGTCCACGCCTCCCCGCTCCCCACGCCCCCCGCCTTCCCCCCCCCCTCAGGCCCCGCTCCCCTCCCCCCGCGCCTTGTCCTGTGACCCGCCCCCTCGGGGGGTCAGAGATGCTATCTTTCGCTGGGTGTGGAACGCGGAGGTGCCCACACCTACCCTGTGCGTGCGTGAGCGTGCGTCACACTCCTGGCCACTGACCTGCCTCTCCCCTCCTCCTGTGTGTGTATATCTCCTAGGGACCGAATTGGATGAAAGTTTCAAGGAGTTTGGGAAACACCGCGAAGTCATGGGGCTCTGTCGGGAAGGTGAGTCCAGCCCCCTCCCCCTGTCCCCGGGTGGAGTTTGTACCCAACCCTGAGGAATCCTTGTTGCTTTAGCCCACCTTCCCTGCTTGTCACACTAAGGATGCTGCTGAAGAGGGAAGGGGGTGGGCAGAGCATTTGGGAAAGCCTGGTTTCTAGGGGCTCTCTGTAATGGGCAGCGAAGTGGATCCCCTCTGGAAACCTGGGTGCAGCCAGAACAGCAATTCAAAGTGATGGGCATAGGAAACCTGCAGGGAGTTTAACCCAGATCCCTTCAGATCAGGCCTTGTTATGGAAAACACCTCTGGAGGAAGGAGTTCTCAGCCCTGAAAAGTAGTTCCACACATGTTTGAAAAGAAACCTTGACCAACCCTAGGCTTTTTAAGGCAAAGAGTGTGTATTTTGGACATTATTATTACTTTATTTTGGTTTAGCCATGCTGTCCTGGAATGTGCTTTTTTTTTTTTTTTTTTTTTTTTTTTTTTTTTTTTGATTTTCGAGACAGGGTTTCTCTGTAGCTTTTGGAGCCTGTCTTGGAACTAGCTCTTGTAGACCAGGCTGGCCTCGAACTCCCAGAGATCCGCCTGCCTCTGCCTCCCGAGTGCTGGGATTAAAGGCGTGCGCCACCACCGCCCGGCTTGGAATGTGCTTTTTAAAAGACCAGGATGGCCTCAAACTCAGAGATCTGCCTGCCTCTGCCTCCTGACTATAAAGGGATTTTCTTGTTTGCTGTGGGGTTTACAGTGAAAGTTTAGGGTGCTGTCAAAAGATCATCTAACCCAAGAATGCACTCGGTAGGAATGTGTGTGATGATTGGCTTTGCCAGGTAAGGGGACAGAAATACAGAACTGTCTTCTACCTTAAGCTCTTTGGTGGAAAGCTACTTGAGACGGCAAAAGGTATGCTGTCAGTGGAAGTCAGGTTAGGAAGCTGGGTTCCATATGACCTGGAGAGGACCCTTTTTCTATGAATCCTTCTGCTTACCTGGGCACTCGGTGGTGAGAAAGGTCATGGCCTCGAGACAAGTTTGGGATACTGAGTTTACATATGCCCATGAAATGTGATTTCTCACCTGGAGCCATTTATTTTGGCAGAGTTTTTGTTCAGGGCCCAAGAAGTAGAACTTTGGCAGCAGGCTTTTTAAATGCAGAACTGGCTGATAGTTGCTGCAGGTTTTAGCTCTTACCTTTCCTTCTTTTTTCCTGCTTTGGCTTTTTCGGCTGGCCATGATCTGTTAGTATTGCCAAGAAGAGTGGCCCTGGTGGCAGGCCTCGGAGCACTTCCCAGTGGAAGGGATCATAGAGCACAGTGCTTTAGCTGGTTCCCAGCTTTCCAGCGAGGACTGTTGAGGGCAGAGGGAAAGCATAGGACTGGGTGGTGATGTCGCAATAGGAAAAATCAGTTGTTAGTCCGGTTTTAGTGTTGGCTTGGCAGTCTGCCTGGGCTTGAAAAATTAAAATCACTAGGTGGCAACCCTCGTAAGAAGCGGTAGAGTAGAGCTTTAAGGACCTAATCAGCCTTGCTTGTAGTTTTTACGCTTGGTGTGAATGTATTTCCCTTAAATGGATTCTATGGCCTCTCACACAAAATGCCAATTGTAGGTGATCCCCTGGTATTCAGGATGGATGTCTTTCTCTGAATTCCTTGATCTCTGAGGCTCAACAAAATTTAGTGGCTGAACCCAGTTTTGTTCTGTTGCATCTATTTTTTCTAAATGGGAATATAGTCATCAGATTTTTCATGAAGTTCTAAAATCTCCTATGTACCAAAGGGGGTCATGAACCTGGTTGTAATATCAGTCTATTAGCGTTTGTTAGAAGTTGGTTTGGGTGGTTTTGTTGTTTGTTTGTTCTTGGCAGGGTTTCCCTATGCACCTCTGTCTATCCTGGAACTCACTGGAACTCCAGCTAGTCTGAATCTTACAGAGATCTCCCAGCCTCCAGAGATCAAGCATGTTGGAATTAAAGCTGTGCACTACTATACTTGGTTTACATCTCTTTTAAAGCTGCTCTCTCCTTTTGAAAGATGCTTCAGCTGTCAGGTTTGCTGGAACTTATGCTTGCATATTCTGAGTAAAGAAAAGACTGAAGTTTAATTCAGGCAGTTTATTTGTGACGGAAAAGTCCAAAATTAATGAAAGATTAAAATCAAGGCTACCTTGACTTTAAAAAAAAAATAAATAAAAGCCAGGGAACTAGTTCTGTTGGTAAAGAGCTTAGTGTGTAAGGCCGCAGACCTGCATTTGATTCCTCTAACCCACATTTCCCACCCACTCCCCACCAAAAGCCTGCCTGTTGGTGCTTGCTTTAAATCTTTAAATCCCACTGCTGGAGGGGGGAGGGAGATAGAGGTGTATCCCTGGGGCTTCCTGTCCAGCCAGTCTAGTCCACGTGATGTGCTCCAGGATAGCGAGAAAGCTTATTTCATAAAAACAAGATGAGCTAGCTGGGCGATGGTGGCACACGCCTTTAATCCCAGCACTCGGGAGGCAGAGGCAGGCGGATCTCTGTGAGTTCGAGACCAGCTTGGTCTACAAGAGCTAATTCTGGGACAGGCTCCAAAACCGCAGAGAAACCCTGTCTCGAAAAACAAACAACAACAACCAAAAAAAAAAAACAAAAAAAAAGAAGGTGAGCTAGTAGGTGGTGGCACAGGCCTTTAATCCCAGCACTTAGAAAGCAGAGGCAGGTGGATCTCTCGAATTCAAGGCCAGCATGGTCTACAGAGTGAGTTCCAGGACAGCCAGGAAGGGCAACACAGAGAAACCCTTTCTTAAAAATCCCAAAACAAACAAAAAACCAAGGTGGATGGCTCCAGAGGAGTCCAGACACTCCCAATGCAACCCTTCAGAACAAAACAAGAAGGAAGAAGAAAAAGAAAGATGAACCCCACAATGGACTAGACCTATCTTCTCTTGACATTGTCAGGACTTTTACCATTGTCTTACGTTAATACGTCCTACAAGCAAATGATGTTGCAGAATTAAATCTGTATAAGTTCCTTTGTCAGTGAAGTTATATTGACAAGAAATATGTAGATGCATTGGTCATATTAATGAAACACTAGGAATGAGAAACTCCATTATGGAAGATCTTAGGATCTGTACACAGTTCCTTAATTCTTCAGTATGTGATTAGGAGGCAGGCAGTTCTCAAACAGAGGGTGTGAAAGGAGCTGTTTCATCTCTGGAAACAGCTTTTCCTGTTTGGGAAAGGAGGTGATAAACCTGTTCCCAAGGTTATTGTAGAGGGTGAATTGTCCCTTTCAGTTCTTGTAATGTTAGTACTGACTTTGCAGTTTGCCTTTTATCTAAATGCTGTCATCTTTTCCACTTAGGACCCTTGAGTGGGCTTCCTGGGATCCAAATTCTCCCGAAAATGTATGCAAAGCAATGTATGTTCCTGCCCTTTTGGAGGGTCGTGGCCTCTTCTGGGTTCTCAATGTGAAAGCTCAGAATCGCAGCCTTAGATGTTCCTGTGTTTCTTCTATTTCTCTTGTAACTTGCTTTAGCTAGTTCCTGCATGCAGTAACTGCCCAAAAATTGATGCTGTGGAAGAAGCTTGGCGCACTGAAGTTAGGTGGAAATAGCATTATTCCTGAATTAGTATGCCATGTGTGGTCTTCCTTCTAGCACAGCTGGAGAATGTTAGGATGCTGTGTCCATCATCTCTCAGAGATCAGCTTGTTATCATCTGTATCCTGACTTCATACTGCCTTTTTCTATAACTTCTAGTATTAGTTGATGGCACAGTGGATTTTGGTGAGCTAAGGTTTCACAGTGGGCTGGACTCTCCCCCAGGGATTGCTAATTAAGAAATGTCCTATATATAGGCCCACAGCCTGGTCTTATAGAGGCATTTCCTTAATTGAGGTTCCCTCCTCTCAGATAACTTCAGCTTGTGTCAAGTTGACAAAAAGTGTTCAGCACACACCCTTTTCTTTCGCTAGTGTGGAAAAATGGTTTGTTTGGTTGGTTGGTTTGGTTTTTCGAGACAGGGTTTCTCTGTAGCTTTTGGTGCCTGTCCTGGAACTAGCTCTTGTAGACCAGGCTGGCCCGAACTCACCTGCCTGCCTCTGCCTCCCAAGTGCTGGGATTAAAGGTGTGCATCACCACTGCCTGGCTTGCAATGGTCTTAAAGATATTACATTGTAACCATAAAATCTTTTCCTCAAATACTTTATCTTTCTTTGGGGATTCTCATTGTTTTTTTTAATGTATGATTTTGAAACCATTTTGATGAGCCTTCTTGGAGCCGTCACAGAACTTCAGTGTCAAATGAGTCATGGCCCAGTCTTGCCTCACCTCTGTCCCACAGTGAATCATTTTGAAGCGTATCAGTCGTCATAGCACCTTGTCTTTTGTCCG